TTCAGAGATACACAACAACCAGCAGCAGATGAAATGAGCAAAATTGTTATAACAGTAACAGTTGTAAAACTGGTACATTTACTCAAATTCCTAGCAAGTTTTTTTTTTTTAAACTGTATTTTACTTTATTTTTATTTGGCTTGAAAATCATGAAGGCTACATACATATGAACCATACTATTACATACGATATACGCTAAACACCAGCAATATATTAAGTCCTAGACATATTAAAATTAGAGGTGATCCCTGTCCAGTGGGGTCACTGTGTATGTTTAAGGACAAATATCACTCACAGTAGAAAGAAGATAAGACTACAGAGCCAAGGATGATGGATAATACAAGTTAATGAGATGGTTTTAGTTATCATCAATCTGCATGTATTTGAAACAGGATCAACACCTCTGGGCCCATTGTTCTTCACATGCAATAAGAAATTCCAATCTGGCTGCACACCCTGCTTTAGACAAGCTGGGTAAACAAGGCTCCTCTTGGTTGAAGACAAGGGATAGAAATAAGACCCATTTTATGTCCCGTCAATGTTAATTCTGAGAGTCACACTCTATCTCTCCAGAGGGTTGGGTTTGTTTTTTTTAAAAGCAAACACCGACTTTTGTGATTTTTGACAGTACTTTCTGATCAGTAGAGAAGCAGGGGAAACAACCCCCATTTTAAGATGCTGGCATTAAATGGAGATCACTTTGAGAGAGGCTCTGAAGCCAAAACTCTTAATATTTTCCAGCTTACCACAACCTATAAAAAAGCACATGTGCAGCCATAAAACAGAACAAGCAGCCATGAAAGTAACATAGAGAGAGGCAGACGGACAGTGGGCCAGCGCTCACAGCGAGCCCTGGAACATTAAATTCTGAGTGTCCCTGGCACAGCGTATCGGGCTTCCCTCCCGCTGGAAGCCTTGCTTGCTGGGGACGACGCGCTTGCTGCTCATAGGAGAGAGCTGAGCGGAGACATCGCAGTGACTCCCTGCCTGCGGGCCCACCCTCAACCCCTCGCTGATGAAACACGACGGCCGCTCCCACGGAAGCTGCTGAAACTGAAGAGGCTGTGGGGTCCTCCATCCCCGGGGGCTCTGTGCACCGTCCTGGGAGAGACACCCACTGTGCCGCTGGGGATAATCCCAGGGCTTGCGTGGCCCTCACTGCCCAGCACATCGCAAAGCACAAGTGCTCTGGAGTCCCAAGACCTGGGCTTGGAGTCTGGCCCCAACATTAGCTAGGTGTGCGAGCGCTTCACTGTCGCTAAGCCTCACAGTCTTCATCTATGAAATGGGACTGCAGCGCATGGCCTGGCAGCAGTATTAGGAGTCTACTGAAAAATTTAAGAATGAAAAGGTTAAATAAACGCTCAGTGGGTTATCCAGGAGGTGCTCAATACACGGTAGTTCACTCTCACTACTTATTTTAACTCTCTCTTTTATGTATTTCCTCATTTCTCAGCTTACAGAGACTCAGTGAAGTAAGGATTAAGTCATAAAGCAAAGACGAGGACATCACAACATGGAAGATGCCTTAAGTTTACTTCTCTCCTACAAAAATATATATATATAGTTTTTCCTTTACGTTGGGAGGCTCTGGGGAAGAGAATTTCTGAAAGGTGGCCGCGAGATTCCCTCTGAGTTGTGCGTGGTCACAAATGGTCACACCAATAGCCAGAGGGTCCACCACTGGCACAAACCAAGGACAGACAGGCTGCTTGCCTGAAAACAGTCTGGAGGCCAGGAGAAAATCTGAGCGATAACAGAGAACCATCTCCTGCTGGTTCTTCACATGACAGGGTCTTGGAGATGCTCTGATTTCACCCCTTTATAGTATAGCTCTTCTTGGTAATGTATGCTCCATCTTTATCCTGAAAAGACGGAATGTGATTTTTATAAAAGACTATTCTTTGAATAAAAATATTTTAGTTTATGGAAGAGAAGTTCGGGGAGGCCGAATGCCTGTAACGGAGATGCTGGGTCAGGGACCTTCTTACACGTACGAACAGGACCCTGTGTCCCCTAGGAAGACAGAGATCCGGCTCTGGCCTAGGAACTCCAGGCTGCCCAGAGAGGCGCAGTGGAGGCAAGAGTGAAGGACAGGGGTAACATCAGTAGCTGCTATGGAAACTGTCCTCACTTGCTTTTGAGGTAGGAAGTTCTCGAGCTATATATAACATGGTGCTGAAAAAAGCTTGTTACAAGGCAGGAGAATTTATGTTTTGGTTGAGCTGCAGTCAAGGTGTGTACAGATTATGACAGAAACGTCAGCAGGTTCCATTATGCAGGGACAGGACCCCATGATGGAGTCATCACCACCACGTTTGTTCCCTTCGCGTCCCATGGTAGCCAGCTTCTCACCCAAGCCTGTGTTTTGCTACTTATCAAGACTTTACGAAATGTGGCTACCTCCCTAACTAACCTCAATACATAAATAAAACTTCAAGTTTAATTTTAGCAAGAAACAGTTCGCGTGTAATTTTTTTCGACCCGACCCTTGTTTCCTGGTCTTTCTAAACCACAGGTTTTAACAAAGACAACTTCCTCTTGGAGGGCCAACTAACAGACCACATGGCAAGACTGCCTTCTTGTAATGATATTCTTTTGAGCAGTTTTCATGTATTTTGTCTACTACAAGAAGTAATTAAACCCGGTATTAGCCAGAGTGTGAAGCAAGGCAGCTTTGGAGTTTCCGACCTGAACTTTCTGGACTTCATCCTTTTTCTGCCCCTTCTCCAGACACCATCGAGTGACACCTTCCAAGATGCAGCCATTCTGCACCCTCTCCCCCACGTCCTCAGAAAGAGCTAGTTATTCACCCTCTTCTGTTGGACTGCAGACACTCTTCTTCTAAAGTTGGATTATATGAAATCAATATTGGCTAGCTTTGATCTGGAAAATGAGGAGCTGCGTGATGAGTCAACTCAGTATTGATGGTATATTGTGCTTTATTAGCAACTGTGAAATGAAGAGAAGGGCCTTGTGTTTATAGGTGATTTGGGGTACAGTCTAGCCCCACTTGTTCAGGGCTTAAGGAACTAGGAGAGCTAACAGTTCTTGTTGGAAACAGCATGATTAGATTTGGGATGAGCTGATTCCTGTCCCAGTGTTCTTATCTCCATAACAGGGGTCAGCAAACTTCTGTAAAAAGCGAGATAGCAGATATTTTAGGATAAATGGGCTATATGGCTTCTATCATTGTAACATGAAAAGAACTATAGATAATATGGGGCTTCCCTGGTGGCTCAGAGGGTAAAGAATCTGCCTGCAATGCAGGAGACCCGAGTTTGATCCCTGGGTAGGGAAATACCCTGGAGAAGGGAATGGCAGCCCACTCCAGTTTTCTTGCCTGGAGAATTCCATGGACAGAGGAGCCTGGTGGGTTATAGTCCACGAGGTTGCAGGACACAACTGAGCAACTGACACTTTCACTTTCATAGACAATATGTAAACAGATGAGTGTGGCTGTGTTCCAATAAAACTTTATTTACAAAAGCAGGTGGCGGACTGGCTTTGCCCTGCAGGCTGTAGTGTGCCAAGGGCTGCTCTGTAAAATTCTAAAAATATGTGTGAACAGATGGGTGAGGGATTTGTATGTTGATAGCCTGTTCGAGTGTTTGGGGATGCTCATCCAGCATAAAGATCTCACTGTCCTTCCATTTAATCTGCTCTGCATCCTCCTTACAATCAGCAGCCAAAGAAGGTCAACATTGCTGGCACGTGCTGGTGGGTGTATTGGGGCTGCAGCCACCTACGAGTTGGGCTCTCCACCTGCGAGATTAGATCACCCAGGATGGCACTAAAACTCACAACTCCAAGGAGTCCTAACTCCTCGGCTACGTCTACAAAAAATACTTCTGATCTGAGGAAAGGAATGTGTTAGAATGTGTTGTCCATCAGGCTGGCTGTGCTACACGATTAGCTCCTGAGGGGAATTTTAATAGCTTTAACAATCATTTAGTCAGGCCCCTTCATGTGTTCACTGAAAGTAACCGCATTATGCCATTTGCATGTTGGTCGAACAGGGCTTGAACTGGCACCTGGGTCAGCTAGATAGTTCAAATACACCTTTTTTTCCCCATCTCTCTTGATAGCCAAGAAAGTATTCTGCCTACATCTACTTTCAATTTCAACTTGAGAAGCATGGGAAAATGCTATTAAGCAATTTAAAAGACTTTATTGGTCACATGCTTAGGCCAGAAATCCAAAACACAGAAGAGAATTACAATCAGGTCATTCCAAGAAGGAAAATAGATCAGTAAATATCAGGCATGATAGTAGAGTGATTGTGCCTGATGCGGCGCAGCTGAACCCGCTTCCAAAAGGCAGAAGAGCTCGCTGGCTACCACAGCCTGTCTGCAAACAGGCAGAACTATTTTTCTTTAAATCTCATACTATGGGCGCTTTCTATGAATGAGTCACAGCAGTTTTAAGATTTCTAAACTGAACTATTTTTATTTTAAAATACTGTATACCCAACATTTTAGAAGTGCACATAAGAAGTGGCTCAAAAACCCAAAAGTGATCAAGGACATTTAAAAAGCTTATGTGGCATGAACTAGTAGTAAAGATCCCTGGGAAGGTGAAAACAATGACAGGTTTCATCTGCACCCAGGAAATGAGTAAGAGATTCAAAAGAAGACCTCGACCCAAATCGATGTTAAAATCAGGATTATCATCGGTGGTTTTTATGGCATCATTTCCTAATTCATTGCTCATGTCATTTATCAAGTGACCACTTTCTTCAGGTGTACTGATCACACCTTTGATCAATATTTCTGTTTACAATTTATCCAATAGAATAAAATACCAATGTGGTTTTGAACGGACCAAATTCTAAGATTCATCATTTATCTGGTTTCAAGTTACCTTTCTGCTGATAGAACCAAAGGTACAGTTCTAGATCCAGAGGAACCAGCACCCAACGCAACGAGAACGCACTGTGGGTATGAACCACCCTGCTTTCAGTCAACCAGGAGAAAAGAGAGGATTCCAGCAGTACTTACTTGCAGGTGAAGGGGTGCTGCACCCACTCGGAGGCGGCGGGCCGTGCAGGCCGTGGAGCGGGGGCAGGGAAAGCCCGCCGATGACGGGCGGGAAGAGCAGCGGGTAGGGCGTGGCGGGATAGTGAGTCATGTGTCCGGCCGCCGCGACGTGGCATGCGGGGCTGCTGGTGCTCATGTTCAGGCCTTCATGGGATGGGAGGCGGTTGGGGGCAGGGACGCATCACTCCAGGCCTGGTATCAAAGTGGGCTAGGTCAGCTCGAAGTGAGAGTGGAATCTGAGCTGTGTTTTGGGCCAAAGTCAAGAAGCTTCAGTGGATGACCTTGCTTCCTTCCAGCAGGGTTTCTCTGCCTCTCATTTTGCTGCGCTGATGACAGGAAGGATGCTTTTTGTTCAGCTCAGCTGAAGGCTGGGAAATGCTATCACTTTAAAAGTCCAGAGCTGCTAATCCTATAAGAAAAAATATGTATATACGTATATCACACAGGTCAAAAGTATTTGCTTCTTTATTGTTATTACATGAAAAATCTCTTCTATTAATCTGAGACTCCTAATTCCCAACTGTTCCCCTATCCTCACTACCTTAATTTTCTTAAATTCTCCAATTCTAATGTAGAATAAAACTTCTACACAATTTCAAACTAACCCTGACTGTCTGATATTAAATAACCCCCCTCACCCAACCCTATCTTTCTCCACATTCCTCCCCACCCCCACCCCACCACATCACTTTCCTCCAGGGTACTTACACAGCTCCATGCATTACATGGGGGAGTGTTTATTTCTGTCTACCCCATGAGAATGCATGCACTAGGAGGGCAGAGTTTTTCTCTGTTTTGTTAACAGCTATGCTTTAAGCTCCTATAAGAGTTCCCTAACAGGAAACAGACTCTCAATGAGTATTTGTTGACTGACTGACTGAGTGAGTTTTGTTTCTTACTTCTTTTAGATAAATTTATTGTTTAATGTCCTAATCTCTGTGCTTTCAAGATGTTAGACTTCCAACTTTGGATTTTACGCAGCTGTTTGGAATGACCTATTCAGCAAGATAAGTATCATTGTGAGGGAAAATTATAACCTAGCGAAAGTAAGGAGGAGCCACCACCATTACAGATCCGTGAATGAGTTCAGTATCAGTTCCTCCCTGTAAACTTTCCTGTAGGAGCGCCATCTGTCCGTTGGTACACACAACCATCAGATGCGTTTGTCTGCGCTCAATCATCCATCCATCCGCCCAGTCCTCACTTGCCATTATGTTCCAGTTGCCAGTGTAGGCACTAGAGGCACACAGTGTGGGCCAGTGCTACTGTCCTCTAGTTCTCACAAAGTTTCTAATTTCAACAGCTCCTAACTGAGGTCATGTTGTTACGGACATTCAGTTGCCCTGTTCCCCATGAAGGACACTCCAGGGATACATAGCACTCAGAATTCCTTGGTAGTGAAATAGACTCTAGGGTGGGCTGACAGTGGACTTCATAGGCTCACTTGGGTCCTAATGACCAATAGTCGCTAAAATTCCCAAACTCCAGTGCCCTGTGAATGGCAAGCCCTGAAGTTCAACTGTCTGGCATGAAACAAGAATAGGCTCTCGAGGCCAGCACAGAGTGGTGGCGACGAGCATGACGCAGAGCCAGACCGCCAAGGCGCCAGTCATGGCTCTGTCCCCTTGGACCTCTGTCTTGCCCATCAGTAGGTCAGCTTTTATTGTAAAATGGGGGTAATAGCAGAATTGGTTTCAGAGGGGTGTTGTGAGGATGAAATGAAGTAATGAGGTAATATCAAAAGAATATCAGTTCCTGGTGCAGTGTAAATACCAGGTAAAAGATAAACTTTTGGCAATGTTTGCCTTTTTTGTCTGTGTCACCATCAAATAATATGTTTCTGAGAATAAGCTTGCTGAAATGAACTGTGGCTTTGAGGTTAGGGCAGGGAGGAGACCATATCACAGTGTTACCCAGGACCCTATGGGCCTTCCCAGGACAGACCTCTCCCCCATATTCCCTGCTAAGGTACCTGGATAATAGTATCTCATGCATATTTCCTGAATTTTTCAGATACTAAAGTGAAGTCAAAGTCGCTCAGTCATGCCCAACTCTTTGCAACCCCATGGACTATACAGTCCATGGAATTCTCCAGGCCAGAATAGTGGAGTGGGTAGCCTTTCCCTTCTCCAGATCTTCCCGACCCAGGGATTGAACCCAGGGCTCCCGCATTGCGGACAGATTCTTTACCAGCTGAGCCATCAGGGAAGCACTGATATCTGAGCTATCAGCTATCAGGGAAGCCTAGATGCTAAAACCACCACCAAATGGAAGAAATTAACTCCCTGATGATCGTGAGCATGTAGCCCCCAGACCTACTGACCCCTAAAGACTGATCATCCTCAGTCAATCAGGGAATCGTGGTTGAGCTGAGCACATACCCTGAGACATCCCTCCCTCTCCTGGCCTTTAAAAAGGCTTTGCTGAAATTCTTTGAGGAGTTCAGGGTGTTTGGGGCATGAGCCACCTCTTTCCCTTGCTCAGTCCTGCAATAAACCTTTCTCGGCTTCAAACTTCAAGTTTGTTTGGCCTCACTCTGCATCAGACACATGAACGTAGGTCCAGTAACAATGTAAGTCCTGAACAAAGAACATGACGACTAAAATTTCAGTCATGGAAGTAAAGGAGTGAAGGTGAAATGTGAGGAAAGCTGAGAACAAAGACTCATAAGGCTTACTTACTGACTTCCCAGGTTGGTGTCTGCACACCCTGAAATGTTTTGATCTATAATAAAGCCCATTTATTTGTTGACCACACGTCAGGTGCTCCACTTATGAGCTGTAAGTTCTAGCCCATAGTGCAGCCCTAGGAGGCAGTTGTTACGACCCATACTTTAGATAAGAAAATGAAGTCTCAGCGAGTTCAGAGGACTTCCCCCTAAGGTCACAGAACCAGCCCGTGGCTAACAGAGATTCTGCCCCCAGATCTGCTGGCTCGACCTCTGCTCTCTCTTTCCGGCCATTCTGTGCTTACGTCTACTGAGTGCCTGCACTGTCCCAATCGCCCCTACAGAACAAAAAGTCCACGTGCAGCAGTGATGGGAGCGGCTCTCCTCACTCAGGTGACCTTCTCTCTGGGGCCTTGATCCCTGGACTGTTACCATTAAACATGAACATCAGCCACAGGGAGACCAAGGGGTCCCAGGTTCCCCCTGGGCTCCCCTGAGCCTTGCAAAGGAGATGATATCCCTGGCTGACTTATGCCACACACTAAACTCCAACAGTGATGTCCCCCAAAATATCGATATCCTTTTCAAACACAAAACTCAGCTTGTCCCTCTGATGAAAAGAAAGTCAATGGACTATGAGAGGTGAAAGTTTTCAGTGCTTTCTCTTCTAAAAATTACAGACCATCTAATACACTGAAGACTTTATTTTGTAGTTTGTAGTAAATTAATTAGAAAATAAACAATGCCATTTAGTATTTGCTGCATTTCCACTCAATTTGATTTTTAAATCACACACACACACAAAGCCCAGCATTGTTACAAATGGTCTTTTCTATCTCCATTAGACAAACTACATCATTAACTGGTGAAGCTGACAGTTAGCAAACCCACCCATGCAGGGCGCAGTTCTTAGATTTTTAAAGCTGTTTGTTTGTTTTTACCAACCGGGGACTATTTCTATTGTTAACAATCCTCCATTTCTCTTTGCTTTCAAACACCGCAGATTTTTAGCACCCTATCTCTCTGGTTGAAAGGTCTTTTATTATGCCTCGGATCTTCTAGAAAAAAACAATGAAAAACAAAAAAACTACTAATACTGATACTAGGAAAAAGAAAAAAAGAAATCAATGTGCCAGGAAAATCCCGCTAGGTTGGTGGAAAATTGTCTGAACAGTCACTGGGTCTATGTTCACATATGTGACTGATTAAGGCTATTCCTGGAAGCAGAGAATTTCCTTTGTTCAGGCTTTTAGGAAAAAAGATGGTCATTGGTATTAGCAGTGCTTTCTTTCTTCATGCTTGATTTAAGTTTGGGCTCATTAGGTTTTTTTTTTCCCCTCACCACCTGAGGCAAAGCAAACAGGAGCTGAGATGGCAGAGGGGAAGGAAGTGGGGACTCGGTCAGGGGGTCTTGGATCTAAAACCTATGAGAATCTTGGGTGTCAGTTTTATCATCTGTGAAAGGGGTCAAGAGAAGTAGGTTCTATTAATAAATAAAGCTTCCTAAATTGTGTTGCCCAGAAAGCAAGTGTTTTACATGAAGGTTTTTTAAAAAATGAAACAAAAAAAGGTGAAAATAACAGAGGAGAAAATTAAAAAGAAAGGACTTTAAAATAACTGCTTGCATCGTTAATGCTGGGATGCAATAATCTATCCCTGATACATAGTGGGATGAGAGCAGGTAGTGCCCACCAGCCACTGGGATGATGTACGCCAGGGGGTGGCAGGGCTCTTGGGAACAGTTAACGTTTATGTCTGTATCTGTGAGCGCTTATTATTAACACAACACACGACATTTTCTTCAGTTTAACTTGTCCATGCTTTTGTTCAATTAAAAAGTTTTTTAAAAAATTACACTTTAATCATTTCTTGTCACACAATTTACTGGAGGTTGCTTTTGTATGTATTTAAACCTAAGTGAGCATGGAAGCTTCCAGGTTTGTATTTCTAAACATTTAAATTTTATTCTATATAAACATGATGCTTACATAATGATCTTTTAAAAAATCCCCTAGTTCCTTTAGAACAGTGTGGTTCTGGAAGCAGAGTCCCTGAACCAGCACATAAGTAATTATCTGGACACTTACTGAAAATGTAGATTTTCCAGGCCCCACCCAAGGCCTACAGAGTCAGAAAGGCTGCAGTGGGCCAAGCAATCTGTGTCTTAACAAACCCTCCAGATGATTCTGATGTAGCTAAAATTTGAGGACGCTGCTCTAGATATGAGGCTGGCAAATTTCTTGTGTAAAGAAAGTAAACATTTTAGATTTCAGGCCATATATAGTCTCTGTCACAGTCACTCAACTCTGCTTTTGTACAAACTATGTGTGGCAGAAAAGCAGCCACAGACAATCCATAAACAGATGGGTGTGGCTTTGTTCCCATGCATTATTATTTACAAAACAGTCTGCTGAATTTGGCCCATAGACCACAGCTTGTGGACTCCTGCTGTAGATGAACAAAAAATGTGAGAGCTGTCATAACGGACATGCCTTGGGACTAGGTCAAATGCCTTCTTTGTTGCTGTTTGAGTCACTAAGTTGTTTCTGACTCTTGCAATGTCCATGGGATTTCCCAGGCAAGACTACTGGAATGGGTTGACATTTCTTTCTCCAGGGGATTGTCCTGATCCGGGGATGGAACCCATGTCTCCTGCACTGGCAGGCAGATTCTTTATCATGGGGCCATCAATGTCAATGAGCTCAAATGTCTTCTACTAATAAATAAATAAAATAAAGGGA